CTAAACAAGTCATTCTTCAACCAAGTTTTAAAATACTATATTTCCTCGTCTATACTACTTCGTATATACTAAAAGTAATCACCGGAGGGGACACTTGATATAATTTTGTGAAAAATTTTGCCTCCAAAATGCTAATATTTTTTTTTATAAATTCTATTAAGAAAACTAAAATTCTTTTAATAAATTTTATTTATATATATATTTGTAACACATAAGAATTTTAAGGATAGATATTAATAAATTTAAATTTCAAAAAAAAAAGTGTTATATAAGTCATTTAATTTCAAATAACTCTATCTCAATTTATTATTATTATTATTATTAATAAATCATACTTTATAGATCTGTGCGTTGCACGGAGCCAAAACTAGTATAGGATAATCTTAGTGGGACGGAGGTAGTAATACAATCATTATCCTCTTAAATAGGGGTGTAAATGAGCTGATACATATGAATTAGATGATGTTTTTGGATTGTGTTTGTGAAATTGATGGGATCGTTTTGGTTGAAATATCGGCAAATATGGTGTTGTTTTTAGGTATTTCAGGTTTTACAAGCTAAGTAATTATTTTGGTGGGTAATATGGTATTGCTTTTACAAGTGTAGGTATAAATACATGTTGGAAAAATTGAAAATATAAAGTTTCATTAGTAGTTTCGTACAATATAAAACCGCTAATTGAATTAGCGGTTTCCTATAATATAAATCGGTAATTCATTTAGCAGTTTTGTATTTATATTATATGAAACCGGGCAAAAAATTAATTTTAATACTTCCTCCGTTAATTGTTAATTGCAACAAAGGGGTATTATTTGTGAGATATAAAATATTCCTTTGTTTCAATAAACCATTAACGGAGGAAGTATTAAAACCCCGTTCTTTAGAGCTGCTTTGCTCTGCTCTGCTGAGCCCTTCTCTGCTCTGCTCGGCTCTACTCTACTTAATTTTCAAATAATAATTAATAATAACAACAATAATAATTAATATTCAATAATAATAATTAATATTGTATTGATGATAATAATTTATTATTTTGAATAATAATAATTATTATTAATATTAAAAATAATTGTAATAATTAATAATAATAATTTTAATAATTAATAATACTAATACTAATACTAATAATAATAATAATATTAATATTTATTAATAATAATAATAATAATAATTTTACTAATTAATAATAATAATTTTAATAAATAATAATAATTTTAATAATAAATCATAATAATAATAATAATTTTAATAATTAATAATAATAATAACTTTAATAATTAATAATAATAATAATAATAATTCATTTTACTAATTATTAATGATAATAATAATAATAATAATAAATATTATTATTATTGTTTTTAATTAATAATAATAATAATTTTAATAATTAATAATAATAATAATAATAATTAATAATAATAATTTTAATAATTAATAATAATAATTTTAATAATTAATAATAATAATAATAATAATTTTAATAATTAATAATAATAATAATAATAATAATAATAATAATTTTAATAATTAATTATAATAATAAAAATTTTAATAATTAATAATAATAATTAATAATAATAATTAATAATAATAATAATAATAATAATAATAATTAATAATAATAATAATAATAATTTTAATAATAATAATTATTATTATTATTATTAATTATTATTATTATAATTAATAATTAATAATAATAATTATTATAATAATAACAACAACAAAAACAACAATAATAATAATAACATTAATAATAGTATTAAAAATAAAGTTGAAATCTGCTCTGCTCTGCTCGACTATGCTCTGCTCTGCTCTACTCTGCTGAAATTTAATCTGCTCTGCTCTGTTGACCCCTACTCTACTCTGCTCTGCTCTGCTCTGCCCAGAAGCTCAAAAGAACAGGGCCATGTATTTGCTGACGACCTGACGTGGACGGTATGTCCGGAATTTTAATATATTGTAGCTTATTTACGGAATTTTAATCTCTTCCAACATTATCTATGGAAATTGCTCCATAAAGTATGTAACATCTATCCAATATTTCCAAGCCTACTTTCAATGTATTCCCTTTACATCCCTAAGATTGCCCCAAGTTATATATTATGGTAATCCCATTAAATTTAGGAAAAACTGATAAAAATAATCCCAACTTTAAATTTGCCCGTTAACTTAAAATAATCCCAACTTTGGATTATTTTTAACTGATCCGAACTTTAGAGGTTATTCGCTCAAAATAGTCCCAAATGACCGATAACCTGTTAAAGAGGTAATTTTTTTTTTTTTTTTTGGATTTGAGTGGCACGTTGAAATTTCTAAAAAAAATAGAAAAAACTAAAAAAAAAAAAAACAATCAGAAATCCCCTCCCTAACCCACGACAAACCCACCACCACCCATGTCCGGCGTCCCTCCTCCCACCGGCCCAGCCCATGTCCCCGACCCCACCGTCGGCATTGCCCAGACCCCCTTTCTCACCGCTGGCACCATACCTTCCTTTCCCCCAAAACCACTAATCCCGCAACATTCAAACCCCTCGGCCCCGAAATCCCTAAATTTCCTTAATCACCGTATAAAAACCCCCAAACGCCCCTCCTCCACCATCGAAACTTTAAGGCGTTTGGGGCGTTTTTATATGGTGGTTAAGGAAATCGACGTTGAATTGATTGTTGCAGGTTTGCAAGGCTGTTGGGTTGCAATTGTTAGTGGTTGTCGCTGCTTTGGTTGTGCCATTGCAATGGATATTGGTTGTTGTTGGGGTTGCGTGGCTGCGCGATATGTCCATTTTATATAGTATTTTACCCCCGTCCCTTGGTCATAATTAGTAGTGTTTTTGGCTCTTTAGAGCCACTTTTATTACTAATTAGTGTTTTCTAGTATTTTCGTAGATTTGGTTGCTTTTGTAGGGATTTGCACTCTTGGAGCATTTTCCCGAGATATTATGGAGTATTTACGAGCATTGGAGAAGCACGACCCGTTTCTATAGCCCAGGGCCGGTTAGTGCCATCGAACCAGTGATTAAGGGCTCGGTATATGTGATACCGGGGCATTTGGACCGAGTATTCAAGACCCGAAGAGGAAATCCAGATTGGCCCGAAGAATTGGAGCCCAATCGAAGTCCAAACCCAAGAGTACCGCCCGGCCAAAGGAGCTCCCGCCCGAAGGCGCGCCCGACCGGGCGGGGGAAGCAAAGCTGGCGCCCGAACTTGCGCCCGGCCGGGCGCGAGAGACACACCTGGAAGTAAAAAGGCGGGCCCGATCGGGCGCGTGTCATTATTAGGAGGTTTTAATCGTCGTTTAAGTTTGTTTTAGTTTAGGATTCTTGCTTAATATAAATACTTTTCCGTTAAGCGAGTTTAGCATCTTCTTTTACTCTTTCTTAATTCTTCTCTTAGATTTTCTCTCTCTACTTAGCTTTTAGATTAGTTTCTCTCTCTACAACTTTGTTCTTTACTCAATCCTTAATTCAGATTATTTGGTAACGATTTCTTCTACTTTAATCTCAGTTATTTACTTTAATTCTTTCATCATGTCTTATTTTATTACTTTGATTAGTTTAGATTTAATTATGTGTGAGTAGTTTTATTTCTAGGGTTTGTGGGGATCCATAAATAATATGAAGGGGTAATTTATTCTTGTTGATTATCAATGCTAGATTAATTTCCTACTGATTGATTTAATGCTCTGTGACTAGATTAGGCCTGATCTTTTATGCATGAGTTTGACAATATTGATTCAAGATTCGAGAGATGAGAATTGATGTTTAAGTCTAGTTTCAATAGGCAGGTTAATTTATAAATGGTTAAGTCGAGATTCGAGAGATGAGATTTAATACCGGTAGATTAATTCTATGATTGTAATACGTAGCGAAAGCCCTTTATGATCTGATTAATTGATGCATTGATGTTTGATTATTATGCTTTACCGTGGAATGTTATTTATTGGTGAACCTATGCCCTAGGTCTTTTATTCATTGATTTTCTCTATTCTTACTCTTCCCTACTTTTACTCTTAGTAGTTTAGTTATCCTTCGATTACAATATTTTGGTTACTTAATAATTTAGATTATAATAACTAATTAGGAATAGAAAGATTTGTTTCCCTGTGGATTCGACCCTACTTCCCTATCTGCATTAGCTAGAGGATTTAGGAATTACTTTTGATTGGGTGATACAACTTTAGTCTGTCACTACGCATGATGTTGCGGTATGAAAAGGTGGCTGATGGTGGTTGTTTGGTGAAGTTGTGGGCTGCGAAGATGCGGGATGCAGCCATGGGGTTTTGGTGGTTCATGAGGTAGGAGAAGGCGTTACCAGCACCGATGTGGGGGACGTGTTTCTGGGCGCCGACAGGGTGGAGGGTTCTGGGACGACCCGTGGCTGGTGGTGGGGAGGTTGGTCAAGGGTTGTTGGGTTTGATTTTCTTAAAGTTTTTTTTTTCAACAACCAATTATGTGGTGACACGTGTCACCTTTACCTACTAGGTTGGGTGATCGGTTGAGATTATTTTGAGCAAACGGGCAAAAGTTGGGATTATTTTATCAATTTTTCCCTTAAATTTACCTCATACCTTTTCGAAGGAGTGAGAAAGATAAAAACTTGGAAAGAAACTAAACAAGAGCTAAACAAGCTATTCTTCAACCAAGTTTTAAAGCACTTTGTTTCCTCATCTATACTATATAATAAAGTAATTACAGAACACTTGGCATAATTTTGTGAAAACTTTTTGCCTCCAAAATATTAATAATTTTTTTTTTTAATTCTATTAAAAAAAACTAAAATTCTTTTAATAAATTTTACTTATATATATTTGTAACACATAAGAATTTAAAGGATAGACATTAATAAAATTAAATTTCAAAAAAAAAAAATGTCACATAAGTCATTTAATTTCAATTAACTAGTATGGGATAATCTTAGTGGGACAGAGGTAGTAATACAATTATTTTCTTAAGTCGCAACTTTTAAAGCAAGTTGCTTGAAGTAATAAATTAAAAAGATTTAAATAAAAAGAAAAATTTGCATACCCAAGTTACTAAAGGAAAAATAAAAATACTTAACTGGAACACTATTACAAACATTCACTAAATCATTTAGTAATCGAGAATTTGTAACACTATACTACATAATAGAGTTCGAGAGAACTCCTTTTACACAAATTTGTAGCATACAAAGAGATTTTTATATAGGTAAGGCAACAAAAGGGAATGGATGGTGCACCAACGAATCATCAAATGATTGTGCTACAAGATAAATTACCCTTCGCTTCTCAATTGAAGATGTTTGAATCACATTTGGTACTTGCACCATCACTTCTCTGAAGATTTCAAAAAGCTCTTGTTTTATCCTACGCCGCCTACAAGTCAGTGCATCAATACCTCGTAAACTTCATTTCCATTCTCTATAGCGTACATAAAAGCAAGGTTATCAGCACACTGCTGAAACTGGTCCATCTCGGATGAAGGAACTTGGATTCCAACCAACACATTTGCACCAGCTTCACCCTAAACCATATAATAAAGTAATTTGAGAAATATAAATAACAAGACAATATAAGATAGATTTTAAGAAAACAAAAATGCAAAAACTTACCTGTGCACGGTAATGAAATAAACTAATATTCCATCGTGGGCTGAATGCATCCAGAAATTTCATCAAAGCTCCTGGTCTTTCTGGGAAAATAAATCTACAAAGTAGTTCATTTTGGACATCTGACCGGCCTCCCATCTACAAAAAAAGGTAGTCAGGGTTGAATTTTAATGAAATCTACCTTAAGAGACACAGTAATCAAACAATGAACGTGCATCTTGATAAAGTCAAGCCCTTCTTCAGGCGTAGTGAATGCAACAGTGAATGTGATAATATATTTCCGTTTTAAGAGACATTTAAAAAGAACATCTAATAAATCATTCTTCTAGAATAAACTGCTCTTTTTCATTCTTTCTTTCAAAATCAAAAACTGCTCAATGAAACCTTCCATAGTTCCATGCAAAGCATTTTTATTATATAATTTTTTTTTTAATCGTTGATAAATTTTTAAACACTGGAATTTTTTTTCATTTCCGCTTTGATAAAGGCCAAATAATTTCGTCTCATTGCTCTCTGTGATTCCACCAAAACCTTCCCCACCAGTATGGCTCTCTTAGGAAGTTCCTGGAGACAACTTTGGATCCAAAGTACTCGTAATCATTTGTTAATGGAAAGTTTGACTTCAAAATAAGGAAGATGCATACCAGATGCCGTAAATGATCTTTAACCAAATCATTATCCGTTAAGTTGATAGTTCGAAGCTTAGAAGATTCCATTCGCTCCTTCATTGCTTCAAGTTCAGAAACAGTATGATGACCAACACTGCAAAATAAACATAAACCAGCAAAAAAAAAATCACAACTTGTTCTAAAATAAGATTGTTAGGCATATATAGACGTTATAGCCTTATACGTACTCCTGGATGACAAACATTGTCAAAGGACTACTACAAAAGGAAAGAAGACTTAAAGCTTATAAAGAATGACATCAGATACAAGCTTCAATTTAGAGTTATATACATTCTTATGGTGCATTAGGGTTTATATAATTGTATAACCCTTGCCCCATCATTGTGCACTGTGTAAAAGTTGTGACCATGTAGGAGGAATCAAAACAAAGGAACACACTGTATAGAATTTAGATACTTCACTAGTTCAGGCGTATGCCTGTTGTTTGAGTCCAACTGCAAACTGCGAGCTGGTTAAGCCAAAGACTATATAACAGCATTTGACAATCAAATCACTGGAAGTTCAGTTCAGACAAGATAACATATCCCTCAGGTCAAGGAAAGGCTAGGGAATTCCGGAATATATATGCAGCATATTAGAATTATTTCAGGATGAGCAGCTTGCATAATCATAGCTATGCTGGCAGCCAGCACACTCCAAACTATTTTCCATTCATAAACTCAAACTGTATAACTAAGATCAAGTTTGGACGGTTGCCAACAAATTTTAGCAGTTTAAGCGATGGCTTCACTAGAAATGAAAACTTGAACTGCTTCTTGAATTACAAACAGAGCAGCTAAAACCTCAGACAAAAGAACTGACTGCTGCTTCTATAAATTTTTATCAGAATATACAAGCTGTGAGAGAACAAGCAAAAAGAATGGAATCAACATACCCAATTTAAGTAAAGCAAACCACACTCCCAAACAGCCAACAGAAAGCTTAGAAGATGTTGCAAGATTCTCGATTTCTGATCTCAACTCTAAGAACATTTCAATAAATTGGAAAAGATGTGCAAAGACCTTATAAATCAAATAAAGTCTTCAGAAGCTCCCTTAGTAAGCCTTCTTATTTCGTATGCAAGACCAGTGGGCATTCTATAATGCATTCCTGAAAGAACCAGTGGGCATTCTATAATGCATTCCTGAAAGGACCAGTGATGCATATATTGCCTAACCAATTCAATGTATAAAAAAGGCTGAAGGTGCACTATGGTGAGAGGGATCCTTTTGTGCCTAGGGTGCTCTTCAGTCACAATGAGGCGCACTGGAAAAATTATGAACTTAAGAAATTGATTGATGTGAGCCTTGTACAAGGAGGGAGACATACATTTCTGGTACAGCTCAGATTTATTTTGTTGAATGTGCAACAATCTACCTAAAGTCCTCAATTACCCAGCTCCTCAATGCATATGCAAGGAATTTCATATACTGATCTTATTCCCAACTAATGTAATGAAGTATGGCTTATGAACAGTAGGTTTCAATAAATACAGTAATACATCACGACTGAAAATTGGAAGCAAACATTAATGTAACCACGTGAAACCTTTTGCTCTCAACCTAACACTTTCACAACCAAATTAAAAAAGAGTGATCCACACGCCCACACGGGTAGCCACACCCTTTCTAAATTATATTTAATATTTTCTTGTTGTACTCTAATCATATCCGGGTTTATGCATGTGAAACCATCCAATTGTAAGACTGTAACGCATTATCTTATAACACAAGACCACCCAAGGGCTGTAACAATTCACTTGAAAATATAGTAATCTTCTAGAAGACATGGATGGTATGTTACAATTTATAATTTTACCACTTCTCATAATCTTGACTCTATGAGAATCATGGTTGCAGTTTTGTCCCATACCCTATTACCTTACCCGAAACCCCAACTATACTTGATATCACTTGACTCGAACTTTATCCAACCCAAACTAAACTAAACAATCAATGTGTCTACTAATGAATATAAATATAATAAGCCAAATGGAAATAGAATTGAATTTAACTTGACCCAAACATGACCTAACCAGAATTGATCCGACTTAAACCTAAACTAAACAACCCAATAGCCAACTCTAACAATCAATCAATTCCAACATATTTCTAAAATACTCGAGGAACATTCTTAATGAATTTGCCTTCCTTGGATATTATTCATACTTCAACTGGCACCACAAAGGGTGAATGCCAAAGACTCAAAATGGACCTCTAGGACTTATTATAAATGATTGGAGCAATAGATATGATTACATCACCAGCAATTTTCAAAAAGGCAGATATCCAGACTAACAAATATCCTTTCAAGGCTCCCTCAAGTTTCATGTCATCCCTTTATTTCAATGGAATTGGGAGACGAACTAAAACAATAGAAGGATACTTGCAGTTGAGGTTGTAATAGTGAGTGGAATATTGTATAAAAACAGACTAACAAAAGGAAGAAAAAAAATTCTAGAAAAGCAGAGTAACTTCTTGGCTTAAGTTATAAAATCGAATGTAAGTCAGAGTTAATCACTTCAACAATTTCCTACTTTTGCCAATTGGGAGTTTTCCTAGTCATGGTCCATCAATAAATTCTGTACTAGAACAGAATGCTAGCTAATTGGAAATTTAGAGCAATCAACAAGATAAAACGCAAAACAAGTGAAATGATATTATTAAATGAAGCCGACATCAGGCGTCAAGATTGAGGCTTTAAAGATGACTTCAGAAGTTCTTACCTGTAGAGAACTAAAGCTTCTTGCTTTGCAGAGTTATATCTGTATTTAAATTCTGTAATATTCATTGGCCCCACCTGTAAAGCCAAAATTCTTTGAACATAAATAAGAGCTAGTTAAAGTGCAGAAGGTTGACTTTCAAATGAGTGGCCTACCATCTCAGCAAATATTTTGAAGCTACCAGGTTCTTCAGGCATAAAGGTTGCAAGTACTGCTTCCCGCTGCCGACCAACGTCTGCAAGTTCAGTGACTAATCTCAATCTATCAAAGTTCATATTAGCCCCACTGGTGATTGCAACAACATTTTCATTCTTTATGCCATAATATTTGCAATAGGCTTCTGCACCAGCGAGAGCAAGAGCACCTGCTGGTTCCAGTATACTCCTTTTCTCCTCGAACATGTTCTACATTAACAAAACAGAATATTAGTTCTAGCAACTACTGATTCCTTGAACCAATACAATATTTGGCAATTCAGCATAAAATATGATATATTAGCTGAAAGTAGTCATTAAATTCAAAAAATGTTAAAGCCATTTTTTTGTTTTGATAGAATGACATTTGTGGTCAAGGTTAAGAAAAATTAATTCACAACAGAATTTAGACATAGAAGAGTAGAGATTTCAGCAATAAACAATAATTGATGGGCATAATGTCGACAATGAGAATCTTATAAGCCTCAAGAGTTTGATGATGATGTGCATCCTTCTTGAAATCAAGGTCACTAATCTAGCTTAGGAGTGATTCTTAATAACTAAAAACCTAAATTTGAACATTCAAGTGATGAACTGAGGCTTCTAATAATTCTAATTCATATTCAATAATGCTGCATCAACAAAAAGTCAGTGAGCCCTGCAATGAGTAAACAGTTACTTCCGTGGCTTCGTAACAAATAACTAGGTTCCATATTCAGAGAAAGATAAATTTTTCATAAATACATGAATCTACAAAAGAGGGAAACAGAAATCAAAGTGTGTCACAAGTACTGAACAGAATGCGATATAGAATTACAATTACAATCCATGAAATATAGATAGCATGGATCTACATTGCAGGTCTTGGGTTAAATTTTGGTGCTAACCTTTATAGAGGCACAAATGGCATCACGATTAACAAGAACTACACCATCAATCAATTCCTTGCATATGCGAAAAGGTTCTTCCCCAACAACTTTAACAGCAACACCATCCGCGAACCCTCCAACTTTATCTAGCATAATTCTTTGTCCATGATGTAATGAAAGAGCCATTGCATTGGCATCAGCTGGTTCCACCCCTATAATTTTGACCTGATAAGAGATATATCACATATAGCATCATGATAAGAATAAATTGACATTACTACAAGGGAATCTGAAGATTAAGAAATCAGTTAAAGCAAAGTGGAAAGGACATGCATTGCAAACATAGTAGCAAAGAAAGCATACAGACATAAGTGCACCACAGCTCTCCAAAGCATAAGAAAAATAATAACACGAACTACAAAGTAATGTTTTTCGCTGAATATCACTATGGACAGTAAATTTTTTTAAAAAAAATGCACAGCCAAAAACCAACCTCTGGTTGAATTCTCTTTACATAAGCAGCAATACCAGCTATGAGTCCACCACCACCTACAGGAACAAAGATCGCATGTAGAGGACGGCCTTTTGACTGGTTCACAATCTCCATGCCTACTGTCCCTTGTCCCATTATGATATCTGGATGGTCAAATGGGGGGATAAATGTCCGCCCCTCCTCTTCCGCCCTATTTTTAGCATATGCTTGTGCCTCGTCATATGAATCACCCACAAGAACAACTGTGGCACCCAGCCTCTTTACAGATTTCCACTGAATAAAACATGGAAATCATCAGTTTTAAGACAACTCAGAAATAAAGTCATAATATATCACGCAAAGGCATAAGAAATTGTCACAAATATTCAAACCTTGATTTCTGGTGTAGTCACAGGCATAACAATTACAGCATTACAATCCAATTTCTTAGCAGACAAAGCCACCCCCTGGGCATGATTTCCAGCCGATGAGCATATAACTCCTCTTTCCAATTGCTCTTTTGGAAGCTTTACCATCATATTGTAAGCACCCCTTAGCTTGAATGAGAAGACCTGCAAAAGGAGAATTATAGAACCCTCAAAAACTGCATGGCATGAAGAAAGATAAATTAGAAGCTTTCAAGGAGAAAAAACTCAAGTTTTTTATCACCTCAAAAATGTAGAATTTACTTTGTAGAAAAGGAAACAAAATTCTAGATGAACAGATATGAGAGTACAAAGGACGGCACTTTCATGAAATTGTCACCGTAATTTCGTACAAGAATTTATAACTCCATCTTCACGAGTACTACTCATTACCGTAGCAACAAAAAAAGTAGAACTCAAAAGAGGGGTCGCCTATGTGAGTATGTTTATTCTTAGGATAAAAGTGACAAAGAGTAAGAGATGTATTACCTAAAATAGGGTCCCCCAAGGTGGAGTTGGAGATGACAAAATATATACTACATATACTTCTTATATATAGGAAAAAATGGAGGTAGAAGTATGGAACAAAAACTATAACACTGTAAAGACGAAGGTGGTATTAAGGGACAAAGGCTATTATGTTTACTTTCAATAGTCCTAAAAATCGTAAAGCTATCCTTCTTTTTCTCTCAATATTTATAGTATATTTGCTAATGGTAACTAAAAATTTATGACAGGAGTAGAGTACAATACACCAATTCTTTAAGAGTTATACTTAACATCTTGTAGTGGTTTCATCTACTTTGCAATATTTCATAATCTACAATTCAAATCTCTGCAAACAATTTTTTTTTTCTGAATTTTTTGCAGTTATACAAATTTTTTTTTTAATGTCTGTAATTTAGTTTTCAACGTTTTCAGCAGACCAAATCAAAGAAAAAGGTTTAAATCTAATTGCGAAACTGTTATTGTCAGCCATTCATTTGCTAAAACGACAGTAACACTAGAATTGCTACACTCCAAATTTCCTGTCAGAACGATATTGCAAGTTTACATCAGTAGATTACTACCTTGCATATCTTTGAGACACTGCCATCCACTGACTATGCTACTTGCTAGTTCATCAAAACAACCATAATTAACGAAAAAAAAAAACTACTCTGATTTATTAAAACAAGTAAATTTACAGAGAAAAATTAATCTTGATCATCAAAACAAGCCAAAAACAAAATGCAAAACGAACCATCTAAAGAACCAAACTTTTACCATCAGCAAATTCAACTAAATATTTGTCTTTCAGAGAATAACTTCTATAATTCCCTAAATTAAATTAAATCATCCATTTTTTTTTTTAAATCTGACCTAAATTAAGCTTCCAAACATCAATCATCATAATCACCAGATATGTATAATGTAATACAAGTAATAAAAAATAAAATAAAAAATCAGCAACCACTTATGAGAACTAAGAGTACAGTCAAAGTACTTGTTGTCAACTACTTTAGTTGGTTAAAGTCTCACAGCTTTTCAATCGAATTCGCCAACAATCATTAAATAAAAAAATAAAAAATAAAAAAAACAAAAACAAAACAAAACAAAAATTCAAATGCAAATAAATAAAACTGAAAAAATCACAACGCACCGGCTGTAAATCCTCCCTCTTAAGCCAAACATTATTCCCTAACCTCTCAGACAGCTTTTCAGCAAGCTGCAATGGCGATTGAACGGCGATATCATAAACCTTAGACGACAATATATTAGTCAAACACTCCATAGCAACAGCGGAGTCATTATTCTCCGATGATTGAAACTCCGGAACAGCGCCGAGGTAACCGCTTGCGTACTTCAAAGACTCGGTCGATACGAGTTTAAGAGGAACGGACGAGAACGGAGACGACGGCGGAGGGGTGTTAGTGATTGTTTCTTCCGGGGAGAAGACGGTGGCTTTGACGGCGAGGGAATGGCGGCGGTAGAGTTTGGGGAGGTGGAGGAGAGATGAGGTTGGGTGGATGGTGGGGCGGTTGAGGGAGGAGAGAGAGTCGAAGGTGGCGGCGGCGCCGCCGGAGGAGGGGAGGAATGAGAGGGACATTATTATGTTTGAGGGGAAATTGAGAGGTGGCGGAGGAAAAAAAAGTTGTAAAAGTGATGAATAATTTGTTGTTGCTGTTTGTGTTTTTTTTATTAGGGGAGTTTGTGACAGAGGGGTTGGGAAAAAAATCTAATGTTTTCTCACGTTTTTATTCCTTTTACTCCGTATTTTGTTAGACGACAAGGAATGTAGGACTGGTCGAGCATCTTGTAACAGTAACACTTTAATTATTGTACGGTAAAAAAATTGTTGTTGCATTTCACAAACCCTTCAATTCAACCCTCTAGTAAGTGGAATTTTGGTAGAATTCTTTCCATTATGGATGGAATCTAAGGGTTTAAAACGTGTTTTAAATTTTAATTAGTGTTTTAATAATTGGTTTGTTTGTTTTGTTTGTTTTGTTTGTTGTCTCCATCTGTGAGAGTTTGTCTATGATTGAGAATTTTATTTTTTAGGGTTTTTATAATAATTGGGAAGGTAATGTGGATTCCTATGGGTTTGGGATTTGTCATCAACCGGTCGATCAAAACAGCAGCACAAATTACAGATATTTCAACTTGAAAAGATGCAAAGAGATCGAAAATCATTTTTCGCGTCAAGTTTGAAGCGATGGAGTATGAGCTATGCCAAATATGCAAATTAGTTATGATTTTGATGGTAAAAGTTATGATATTTTATCTAAATATGTGGTTTACATATTTTTATTATTGTAGATATCGTATGACTATTATTTAATGATATTATTAAATCTCATTAAAAAAAATAGATAGATAAAAAGGGAAGGAAAAGAGGGGAAGGGGTGGGAGGGGAGAGAAAAAAGATGAGTTTTTCTTTTTAAATTTCTCCATTGTTGGAGGTATTAATTTATTACTGTTTAATCCTTTTATTTATCTTCAATTCAATTTCCTTCCTTCCTCATTTGTTTTTCAAATGAAAATACTCCATCACTAAGACTCTAAGCGTAAGGAATTGCTCATGTGGTTATAACTTCCTCCCGACTCTAAGAGATTTTGGAATCAATTCTCATCATCCGCCCTTGTGACTCTCTAAAAAAAAACACACACACACACACAAAAATATAGGTAATTGTTGATTTATTTAATTTACAAAAATGCAATTAGATAAACGATCTTTTTTTTACTATGAAGATTTACTACTTGTAATTATTGTATATTAAACTATTTTTATTCCCTCCATTTCCTCAAACAAAGTGTAGGTAATTGTTGATTTATTTAATTTACAAAAATGCAATTAGATAAACGATCTTTTTTTAATATTAAGATTTACTACTTGTATTTATTGTATATTAAACTATTTTAATTACCTTTGTTCTGATAAATCTTTCTATATTTAAGATTAATAATGTAGGTCGACCACCTTCAATTATTTATTTTTTTCTAAACACATAAGCACAAGTCAAATTATTTCTATCACATGTTAAATCATGCTCAATTTCACATTAACCTTCACATAAACCAATATTTCACCAAATAAATATAAATCCCTCACAAGTTACAAGTTGGTATCATCTTATTATCACTCATTCACACATGTAAATATCACTCATATAAAGAAAGCATATCTTCCAAATATGCAAACGTATGTGTCTAATTTTATTGATTAACTAGATTAGGTCCCGTGTCATGCACGATTAATTTCAGTATTATTGTCAACAAAAAGTATGAACTAAATTATCGAAATATTTATTAAAATGAAACATATTCATGAAAAAATCGATTAGCTAAATATGTATTTTAAAGTTAAACAGTTGAGCATATGATTATTTTTTGTATTTTTATACATGTGGTAATGTAATAGTGTTATTTTTCTTATTAACTAAATGAAAATTTTTTAAGCTATGTACTAACCCTGTGAATAAATTTTCTTTTTGCACACAAGTAAGATCACCCTATTATTTCATTCAAAATCATCCAACCTAAAATAATATTATTCAAATCATTATTCCAATTAATAACATCTTATTTCTTATTCAACTTTTCTCCTACTATCAACTCTAATTCAAATATCAATGTATTTGAAATTATATTTTGGTACTATATATAAATTATATAATAATTAATAGTTATCAATCAATAAGTTATACATTTATTTATTGATATTTTTACATAGATATTGGTTATCAAGATAAGTTTCTTAACAAAAATAAGTAATAAAAATCTTATGTTGATAATCTATATGATATTTTTTTTTCCTAAAAAAATTATTGTTTATTTGTTCTTTCTATAATTAAAAATCTAGATGATAATTAATTTTCTACCACGTTTTTGATAATTTTTATTCCTCATTTAAACTTTATTTAAAAGAAGATCCAAAGAAATAAATAAAAATATACGTAATATATTTTTTAGGACACACCAGGCGATGACACGTGTCATTGGTGGTGTGTCTTTTAGTATATATTATTGATGATTATTGATTGATGATTATTGATTATTGATTGATTGATGATGGTAGATTGAAATTGTGGTTAAGTTCTTACCTTTCGTATCAAAGTCAAATGTTATAAATGGCGATGGAAACAAAGCCTTTGCTTGATTAGAGGAGGGTGTCACATGACACACACACACACACACACACACACATATATATATATATATATATATATATATATATATATATATATATATATATATATATATATAATAGGCATTTTTTTAGAGCTTTCGGAGCGCCACATAAGAAATATAATTATTTGGACCAATAAGAAAAAAATTGTATTTTGTTTTTGAATTAAAAAACTATATCGCTTCCTTGATAAAAGTAACGAATTAGATTTGATAAATCTAAAATTATTTTAATCCACGAATTAAATTATTTTAATCCACGAATTAAATTATTTTAATGAAAAAAAAGTAAAAATGTAGGAAAAGATAAGTTTATTAAATCAATACTACGATTATAAGAAATTCAAAAAAAATTAGGAAAAGAAAAATCTCCAAAAAAATATTTAAATTATAGTTGTCAATGAATTTGGTGAATCTATCGAAATAAAAAATTTTGGTATACAAAAAAAAAATGAATAACGATTTAGAATTTAAGTTATTTTAAAATTTATCTTTTCACATCAAAGAATTTATGTAATGGATGAAATATCATACGAAGTATTTACAATTTGTTTATACTTAATAAATTCAATTATAATGAGTAAAACAACTAAAATTAAACTTTTGTAATTTTGCCTGAAATTATTTAATACAATAAATAAAATAATTAAAATCTTAGATGAAAAAACCGTGCATCGCACGGGCTTTCTTCTAGTAAAGCTTATGACAGGGTAGAATGGGGTTTTTTGCGAAAACTTCTCCTCACGATGGGTTTTGATGGTAGGTGGGTCAACTTGGTGATGCATTGTACGTGTAACCTCAGTAACTTACTCTTTCATTATTAATGGAAGAGTTTGTGAGTCAGTGACTCCCTCTCGGGGGTTAAGGCAAGGAGACCCTCTATCTCCTTATTTGTTTATATTGGTGGCTGATGTTTTTTCTCGCATGTTGCACAATAAAATTCAGAACTCATAGCTACATGGGGCAAAAGCTAGTAGGAGTGATCTTGCTATTTCTCACCTTCTTTTTGCAGATGATAGCTTGCTTTATGCTAGAGCGACACGACAGGAATGCGAAATGATAATTGATATTCTCAACCGCTATGAAGTAGCTTCCAGGCAACAAATTAATTATGAGAAGTCGGAAGTGTCATTTAGTAGAGGGGTGAGCGAAGAGAAGCAAGAGGATTTGATGGTAACGTAATATCTTATTAATATGAAACGTGTTGATAGACATGGTAAATATTTGGGTATTCCTACTTTAGCTGGGAGATTAAAAAAGGCTATTTTTGGTGCTCTATTAGACAGAATTTGGAAGAAGTTGCAGGGTTGGAAAGAAAAACTTCTTTCGAGAGTATGGAAAGAGGTGCTTCTATAAGTTGTGATACAGAAAATCCCAACGTACTTTATGGGTGTGTATAGATTCCCTTGTTCGGTTATTAATTATATTCGGTCGGCCGCGGCAAGGTTCTTTTGGGGTAGTTAGGGCTCAAAACGGAAAATTCACTGGAAATCTTGGGAAGTGATGTACATGCTGAAATGCTTAGGAGGGATGGGATTTAAGGATTTGGAGATATTCAATATTTCTCTTCTTAGAAAGCAAGCTTGGAGGTTGGTGCATAGGGAAGACTCTCTCCTCGGCAAGGTTATGAAGGAAATGTATTACCCAAATAGTACTTTTCTTGACTCTTATCTTGGTGTTTCGGGTAGTTACTCGTGGCAAAGTATTTGGAGTGCGAAAGCACTTCTTAAGGAAGGACTTATTTAGAGGATTGGCAATGGCGCTAGTGTCAACATCTGGAAAGACCCTTGGGTGGCCGATGAGGAAGGGCGCTTTGTTACATCTCCGGAAGTGGAGGATTTGAGCCATGTGAGTGATCTGGTGGATTTTACAATGATGGAGTGGAATGAAGATCTTATTGCTGCACATTTTAACGAGAGAGATAAGAGATGTATACTTTCTATCCCTCTTAATTTAAGGGCTCCGAAGGATGAAATCACATGAGCACTCTCCACGGACAGACTTTATTCAACAAAGACCTTGTACATGTTGGGTAAGGGCTGCGATTTTGATTCTTTTCGCCAGATTTGGGGAATGATTTGGGGGTTTAGGTGAGACATTTCTTGTGGAGGATGTGCACTAAAACTCTTCCTACAAAGTTGTTTTTGTTTACTCGTCATATTCTCGATTCATCTTTGTGCCCATGGTGTGGTATTGGTGAGGAATTGGCTCTTCATGCGATTTTCTTCTATGGCTGAGTGTGTGAGTTGTGGGATGCTTGTGGTTGTGCTGCTGCAAGGCCGAGGGATGGTGAAGAGGTGTGTGATATGTTGGTCAGATGGAGTCAGCTAGGGGAAAGGGTGAAGCAAAGGGCAGCCTATCTTGCTTGGATAATCTGGACCCCCATTCCTCTAGCTATAGCGAACTCAATCCTACTGAAGATGTGAGTAGCTGCACGAGCACTGATATCCTGAGTCTTAGGAGTATTATTATTATTATTATTATTATTATTATTATTATTATTATTATTATTATTATTATTATTACTACTACTACTGTGGAGTAGAGTTGAGGAAGAGTTGTATATATATATAAGAAGTGACAAATAAATATTTGTGTGTGTTTTATTAAGGGGGTTGGAAATTAGGAGATATTTATATATATATAAAAAAAATCAAGTGTTTTAGGTCA